TTATTGGGAGGCAATTTTTTATTATTTTTGATAGATAAGAAACAAACTTTTTGTCGCGTATTGTTTTGATTCTATTAGAGCTTGGCATTCAAGAATGGAAATATATGTGCAAATATAAGGATTTTATCACTATTTCTTATTGTCATCTAACAATAAATTTCGTCCCAAACTGAAGATGCTTCCTCGGCTTCATAGCGCAGAAGACGCTACGCACTACTCAATACGATTTCACAAAGGAAAAAAAATTAAAAACAACCAAATAGAAGTAACAAAAAATTGGAAGTTACTAAAGTAGAGAATAACTTACACTTCGAGGTGAAGTGAGGGACGAGGGAATACCTACTTCGAGTTGTGACCAACCTTGAGGTGTATTACGAATAGATAGATTTTTCAGAGAGGTGAGGCTTTTGAGAACTTGTCTGCTTAATGTTTTCAGATTATTTACTTCAAAACGTCAAATAGAGCAAGACAATTTCCAATTTTCATCAGCAAGAATCACTTCGTCACTATCATCATGAATGATGGTTTAATCTGTGAGACGGCGAAGTCTCTTGGACTGAGGCATAATTTTTATTGTTATTGTATGGACAATTGTTTATAATTAACATTTAGGCAACGATTCCATCACATTTTTGCTTGAACATTCATGTGTAGTTGGATTGAAAGAATCGTTCTCTCTCTCTCTCCAAACGCTCACTGCCAACGGTAACATAAGAGGATCTCAACAGCGACTAGTTCAGTCGCCGGCGACCACTCTCAGCCCAGGTAAGTCCCCTCGCCCCTCTCTCCTCCCCATCATCCAACACCCCTCTCTCTCCGCCCATCTCTCTCACCCCGCCTCTCCTCCTTTCCAGTCTTGTCTTCTCCCCCTCTTACTCCCGCGAGACACGGATCAGTCGCCGGCAAGTGGGAACAACCACAGTTAGGTTTCAGGCCTGATTGCAGTGCCGTGGTGACACACAAACCAGACCCGTCTTCAAGCCAGAGGTGCGGATTCTTTTCCGGCGAGGTCAAGCTATTTTCATGTGGGTACAGATTTCCGGCAGGTTTCATAAATCCCGGCGACTCCTGAATAGCTTTCCGACACGACGCAGCAGGACTTGTCTGACAGTATCGGTTAGGACCGGTGGCTTTGGGCGGCGAGCGAGACGGGCACGTGCTAACAGTGAAGAACAACCTGAGTATCAGCAAGGAACGACAGAAGTTGGACGCGGACGAGCTAGGTGGACGCAATACAATCGAGTATACTAAGACAATTCCCAGGTTATACTCGCGGGAATTGGTACCTCCTGTTTGCCTATTTCCCTCTACTGTGTTAGTAAAATTGTTGTCCTTTTAGTTCTAATTAGTTTAGTCACCGTATTAGGGCGCCTGCAGTGACATCTTGTCTTATTCTAGTTTGTTTTGTGGTGTCTGTTAGCGATTTCCCCGAGTACGCCGGAGTTATAGTGGCTGCAGTCTAGGATGGTCAAGTGAGTTCATGTCCTCAGGATGTGCGGGGGATGGGTCGGGAGGTAGGGAGGGGGCTAGGAGGTGGGTTGGGATGCAAGGGAGGTAAAGGGAACAAGGGTGTCCATCGGTTGAGAATTGGGTCATGGAACATAGGTTCATTGACAGGTAAATCTATAGAGCTGACGAAGATCCTCAAGAAGAGGAGGGTCAATATAGCATGTGTCCAGGAGACAAGGTGGGCAGGGTCGAGTGCGAGGGACGCGGATGGGTATAAACTTTGGAACTCTGGAACCCAGAAGGGTAAGAATGGAGTAGGTATATTGGTGGATAGGGAACTTAGAGAGTCTGTTGTTGAGGTTAGACGAGTGAATGATAGATTGATGATTATTAAGTTGGTGGTTGGTCAGTGCACCATAAACGTTGTTAGTGCCTATGTGCCACATATGGGCCTAGATGAGGAGGTTAAACGACGCTTTTGGGAGGGGTTGGATGAGATTATACGTCAGGTACCACCTACTGAGAAGTTATTCATAGGAGGGGATTTCAATGGCCATATTGGGTCGACCGCCGGTGTGTATGACGAAGTGCATGGAGGCTTCGGTTTTGGGGAGAGGAACGGAGGAGGAACCTCATTACTGGACTTCGCTAAGGCTTTTAGGTTGGAAGTTGCTAACTCTTGCTTTCCGAAGAGGGATGGGCATTTGGTTACTTTTCAAAATGCGGTGGCGAAGACTCAGATTGACTATCTCCTCCTCAGGAGGCACGACAGAGGGTTGTGCAAGGATTGCAAGGTGATTCCAGCTGAGATACTCGTGACGCGACATAGGCTCTTGGTGATGGACGTTGGTATTATGGTGAAGAGGAGGAAAATGTCTACTCGAGGAAAACCGAGAATCAGGTGGGGAGCTTAACTAAGGACAAAGCTCAAGAGTTGGAAGGGCGGTTGTCGGTTATGGGAGCTTGGAGGAGCAGTGGTGACGCGAACTCTATGTGGTCAACGACAACAAACTGTATAAGAGAGGCTGCGAGAGAGGTGTTAGGGTTCTCGACGGGTGTCTATGGTAGGCACAAATGAGACTGATGGTGGAATAAAGTGGTACAAGGTAAAGTGGAAGCGAAAAAGGAGGCGTACCAGACGTTAGTGGGGAGCATAGGTGAGGGGGAGAGGCAAGCATGCATGAAGAGGTATAAGGTAGCTATGAAGGAAACGAAGCTGGCAGTCACGGAGGCTAAGACTGCGGCATATTGTTGTATGTACGAGGAACTAGGGGAAAAAGGAGGGGAGAACAAGTTATTTAGGCTGGCCAAGCTGAGAGAGAGGAAAGCTCGAGATTTAGACTGAGTGAGATGCATCAAGGACGACGATGGTAGAGTATTGATGGAAGATTCCCAAATTAAGAGGAGATGACAGACTTACTTTCAAAAACTTCTTAATGAAGTAGGGGATCAGGATATTGTGCTCGGTGAATTGGAGCATTCCGAGAGTCACAGTGACTCTAGGTACTGCAAGCGCATCAAGGTTGAGGAGGTCGTAGGAGCTATGAGTAAGATGAGTAGGGGCAAAGCGACCGGGCCTGACGAGATTCCGGTAGAAGTTTGGAAGTGTGTGGGGAAAACAGGTTTGGAGTGGTTGACTAGGTTGTTGAATGTTATTTTTAAGGCGAAGAGGATGCCAGATGAGTGGAGGTGGAGTACGGTGGTCCCACTATATAAGAACAAAGGTGATATCCAGAGCTGTAACAATTATAGGGGTATCAAATTACTGAGTCATACTATGAAAGTATGTGAGAGGGTGGTTGAAGCAAGGTTGAGGATGACGGTGTCCGTCTCCGACAACCAATTTGGTTTCATGCCGGGTCGTTCTACTACAGAAGCTATACACCTTGTTAGGAGGTTGGTTGAATAGTACAGAGATAGGAAGAAAGATCTGCACATGGTGTTTATTGACCTAGAAAAAGCGTTTGACAAGGTTCCTAGAGAAGTTCTCTGGAGAAGCTTGAAGGCAAAAGGCGTGTCGGTTCCCTACATTATGGCGATTAAGGATATGTATGATGGAGCAAAGACTCGGGTTAGGATAGTAGGAGGCGACTATGAGGATTTTCCGGTTGTTATGGGGTTACACCAAGGTTCTGCGCTCAGTCTGTTCCTATTCACCCTGGTGATGGACGTGTTAACACATCACATTCAAGGGGATGTGTCATGGTGCATGCTATTCGTCGATGACATAGTTCTGATTGATGAGTCGCAAACCGGTATTAACGAGAGGTTGGAGGTTTGGAGACACGCTCTTGAATCTAAGGGTTTCAAGCTTAGCAGGACAAAGACAGAATACCTAGAGTGCAAGTTCAGCGCTGAGCAGAGGGAAGTGGGCGTGGATGTGAGGCTTGAATCACATGTCATCCTGAGTAGAGACAGCTTCAAGTACCTTGGGTCGGTTATCCAGAGGGGAGGAGAGATCGACGAGAATGTTACACACCGTATCTGGGTAGGATGGATGAAGTGGAGGTTAGCATCTGGAGTATTGTGTGACAAAAGAGTGCCACTGACACTCAAAGGTAAGTTCTATAAAGCGGTGGTTAGGCCGGACATGATGTATGGGGCTGGGTGTTGGCCAGTTAAGAAATCACATATCCAGAAGATGAAGGTAGCAGAAATGAGAATGTTGAGACGGATATGCGGGCATAGTAGGATGGATAAGATTAGGAATGATGATATTCGTGAGAAGGTGTGCGTGGCTCCCATTGATGACAAGATGTGGGAAGCAAGGCTCAGGTGGTTCGGGCACGTTTAGAGGAGAAGCCCAGATGCTCTGGTAAGGAGGTGCGAACGGCTGGTTGTGGAGGGCTCGAGAAGAGGTAGAGGGCGGCCTAAGAAGTATTAGAGGGAGGTGATTAGGCAGGATATGACGATGCTTCAGATTTTCGAGGACATGGCACTTGATAGAAACATGTGAGGTCGAGTATTAGGGTTGTAGGCTAGGAGGTAGTTGAGTATTGTCTTATGTCATAACTTTGGGAGACTAGTTTGGTAAGGTTATTTTGCTTTTGCTTTGTATCATTCCTCTTGATTTCATATTTTTCTTATTTTTCATATATATATATATATATATATATATATATTTCATATTATTTATGTGGTGTTACTAATATTGTCTTCTTTTGTCCTTTTGTCTTCTTGAGCCGAGGGTCTTTCGAAAACAGTCTCTCTACTCTTTCGGGGTAGGGGTAAGGTCTGCGTACACACTACCTTCCCCAGACCCCACTAGTAGGATTTCATTGGGTCGTTGTTGTTGTTAACATTTAGGCAACCTATTAATGCAAAAACTCCTTTACGTACAGTGTTAGTGTATAGAAATATTGCTCAACCAATCTAACGAGGCTAGCTATTGAAAGAAACTTACAAAGAAGTATTGCTTCCATCTATTGTGCATTACTACTAATTTTGCATTATTGCTCAACCAAACTTACAAGAAGTAAGAAATACCATATAAGCAACATGCTATAATCTCTAACACCATCTTCAGTTATCAAAGTTGAGTGGAAATGATATGTAGTTTGAGTCAAAAGCAATGAATTTAGTTGAATCCGTCCTAAATTGACAAGTAGACTATAGGTCCAACTTCCAAAGAATGCATGCACATCTTTCACTAGCCAACTTGAGGAAAGAAAATAAGAGACTATTGAAACCTCACTTTCTCTTCTCATTAACATTTAATATTCTCTCCTCAGAATCTCCTCTATTTCTTGTACATTTTACAGTGTATTTACTGTTTGCTCTAACCCTTTACGTCCAGAAGTTCAGAATACTCAATACAGAAAGTCCAATAATTATGTTGTCTTTTGCTTTCCGTTGGCCAAACGTATCCAGAGCAGAAAGGCCTAATGGAAAGTCCCTTCTCAGAGTAACTTAAATATCTCAACAACTTTCCCTTCTCGACAACTCAGAAAAAACAAACTGAAAACAAAAGAAAAGGACATGTTAAAACTCTTATCCAATCAATGTACTACTATTCCAGCAGCCCACATTTGTATGATTCCTCTAGACAAGTACTCAACAATCATGGTTTTATCTGACTACTAAAATGATTCCTAAACTTATTGCCAAGTGTAGAAGTTTCAATATGTCATAGCTCATAATCATTTTTTTATGCTGAAGAAGTTAGAAGAACAAAGCAACATCAAGGGAGCCAAGCTGCCATGTCATCTGTGATATTACTGGTTTTACGATTAATCAACAACTGAAGGCTTCTCAATTATTCAAGATCTAGCATAGTTTCAACGACACCATGATACGTCCGTTTTGTTTCCTAACCTTAAATTAATCTCTGATGCAAATTAATGCTGATTTTCAAGTTCCAAGCTGCCACATGAGGTTGACTCAAAAAAGGAAAGGAAAATAACACGACCAGATCAGATAAAATGAAGTTGGAAGGTGATAATTTAATATCCATTCAACTATGCTCAAGAATTTCGGAAAACAAGAACATTCATCATATTACCTATCAAATGCAGGGTGGTTAGAAACTCAAAGATCAAAATGAATAAAGCAATATGTGATGAAAAGGAGCTGAGTTTGGAGTTCCTCTTCCATTCATGCTCTTCCTTGTGATTCCATGAATTGACTGGAGTTTAAGAACAACGAACAGAAGATTGAACAACTGCAACAATGACAATGTATCAACGGCCAAATCGAGCTAGTAGAAAAGCAAAGGAGAAATCCTCAAAATAAACTGCCAAGTTATCTAGACAGGAAAGTGCAATAAACGTGTTAGGACTGCATCATATTTCGAATAGCTAATATGCATCAACTATAGTAGAAGAACTAATAAGAGATGGCTTTTTTCTTGGTTATGCTGTCAATGATTGAGAGGGGCATTTCACATAAGAATGATCCTTGACAACTCTCTGCCAAAAAAAACTTGGCACAATGCCAAAATCCTCAAAAAAATTAGAAAAGTATACAAAAGTTCTACAGATGATCATACCCTAATCGTTAAGCTAAAGTCAGCATGCTTAAGTTTCTTGGTTTTTTTATTCTTTTTCTTTTACATTAGTAACTTCAATGTAGAGATGTTAAATAACAAGGAGATAAAGCGTATATTCATTCAACTTGTCTTTTCGTGTCCAAGTTGTTAAATTAAGAGATCTGTATTTTTCATGTCCAAGACTAAATGAAAGAAAAATTGAAGATAGAAAAGGAAACCCAAAAAAGAAAAAGAAAATTTAAAAATTAGCAGAGAATAAATGCTCAAAGAGGACATAATCTTTTCCCATCATTTAGGCAAAATTGTAAATGCTCAACATAAGAATTAATACTTACACAGCCTTTGATGTGAAACTTCAACGGCAGGCAGAAACTTTTCCTTATATCTGAGATGGTTGTCCAATTGATAATGGAATCGATAGCAGGAGGCTATTTCTAGACATTGAAGCGAAGTGAGGCACCTAAGACCGACTGTTGGTAGTAGATGGAGCTCATCATGGTAATATAACCTTAGCTCAGAAAGAGACGAGGGAAGCCCTTCTCCGGCGGTGATAAAACTTCATTTCCTGAAATTGGGACATAAACAGTTATCAAAAAGAACTCCAAGCTTAGGAGAACCAACAACTTTCAATTGAGTTCAGGAATCAGGACATTTTGAAATTTTAAGGTAACTGCCCAATCAACTTGGGACAACTTTCAATTGAAAGAGAACAAAAACTTATTTAAGCTGAAGAACAAAAACTTATTTCTGTCAAGCAATGCAGTGCAATCAAGTGAAATTTTTTTAAGCTGAAGAACTTGATAGAGAAAATGAATGTTAATGCAGCAAACTTTAGTCAGAGCAAATCAAAGGTGAACTGTATAATACACCGAGCTAGTGTCTCCTCCGCTATAACAAAATGGATCTATTTTAATTTGGGCAAATATCAGTGCTAATTCTTTTAACTGATGTTGGAAACTCAACATTGGAAGAAACTGCAGTACAAAATTTTGCACAATATTTTCTTAGAGTGATCAAAGAAAAGCAGTACTGTCAAATTCCACACAAAAGAGTAGTACGTACTTTTCTTCACTTACACTTTGCTGACAAACCACATTCAAGGTTATTGTCCATTCGATAGATAATGTCAACAAAACTGTCCATTCACCAATGGAGCCAAGAACGGTAATAGCTAGCATATTGTTACCCAAATCCTGATAAAAATAATTGCTTATAAGCTGATATCCAATAATCATATTAGGAAGCAAACTTTTCTATTTTTTTTATAGATAGGAGGCAAAGTTTGTGTCACATATACCTTTGAATTATATTAGAGCTTAGCATTCAATAGTGGACATGTGCATTACTCTAAACCACCTCCTCCTCGCTCATCTCACTAATAAGGGGAAAGAACAAGAATACATGAATTTCTATTGAGATGAAAGTTCAAGCAATGCATGAACTAAAAATCTACAAGATGAAGAGCGAGAAATATGACTGTTGCGGAAGCCAAATGTATATAGTGTGAATAAGTCACAACTATTATACCAAAAATTATGACAGCCACCAAATAATAAATAAGATAATAAAGCAACAATAAAGGGAACACCAGAATTTACGAGGTTCGACTAATTTTGCCTACTCCTCGGACACAACCAATATTTTATTTCACTCCAAAAATACAAGTGAAATAATACTAAAGAGAGAAGATACAAATGCCTTAAACAGATGAGAAGGCAAATGAGAGGTGTGTTTCAATCCTAAACATTAGGCCTTCTTTTATAGGGGAAAA